GTTATAGTAGTTTATCACTATAGGCACTGTTCAAATAGGAGAACCTGATTTTATTCCGGGATGTCTACTGAATAGACGTTGGTCAACCTGTTGTTTGCCGTAGAAGGCGTGTTAGGGTGGTCCCGTTTGTAGGCTTGGTAAGAATTAGTCTGTTTTATTTAACTGTTTTTATCGTGGTAAATTGATATAATTTCATTGAATTTAATTATGTCATCTTTTTCAAATTGGATTCAGAGATTTAGAAATATATTTGAAAATATTTCAAATGTTTTTCAAAATAAAGAAGAAATTGATCAATCATCTACATCATATGCATCAAATGATTTCAATAGTCATGAACTTCAAATTGCTCAAATAGAACAAAGATTGCATAACTGGACAATTCCAAAAGTAGAAAAGAATTCTATCTATGAAACTGGAAAGTTTGATTTTACTCAAAATTATGTTATCAAAACTCTTGAACAAACATTATCAATTAAAAATCAAAATGCTCATATCAATCTATTTTCAAAAGAATCAATTGAATCCCACATGAAGAAATTGAAATATCTTCATGTTGGATTAGTTCAAATTGTCATCAAACATTTGTTTAGACTTGGGTTAGATATTCCAATTCTCTTAACTCTTCGAGATAAGAGACTCCTCAAATTTGAAAACTCATTATTATCTGTCCTAGAATCAAATCTAAAAAGTGGTCCAATTTATTCAAATTATTATCCAAAATTTTCAATTAATCTCATTGATGAAGCTATTTTTAATGCTCTAAATCTCTATATTCAAACCAAAAATCTCGATTTAGATGATAGTTCAAATGCTTTTGTTTTAATATACAGAATATATTACAAGCTAATGAATACTCAACTCAATATTGGTACTTTACGTTCATCCCCTAAAGATGAAAGTTTTTTGGTTGAATGTAATCCTTTTCATTCGAACACCATGGTTTCCAAGAGAATTCCTTGGAATCTTCAAAGTCGTGGACTAGAATGGAATTTTGAAAATTTTCAAAATCCTATTCCTGCTCCTGTTCAAACAATTTCAAATCAAATTCTTACTTTTCCAGATGGAAACGTCAAAATGACTTTCAAAGGATCTTCTTCTAGGTTTCCAAGATTTTATTCTTCGAGATATGAAGATAAACCTAAATTTTCTTATCAATCTGCAAGATTTTCAACATCTTCTCTTTCAGGTGTTGATTTCACTCTAAATATTTTAAAACCTCAATATTCTGAAAAAGATACAGAAAAAGGAGAAGAATCAGAACAACCAGCTTCTCCAACTTTTTCTGACATGTTTTCTACTCAAAATGAAAGACTTGATTATCAAACAAATGTTATTTCTTCTATGATTGATAGAAGAAATGAATTCAATACTGATCAAACTCCTGATGTTAAAAGTTTTCGAAAAATATTTCGTCAAAGTTTTTCAAAAGAAGAACGAGAATCTTATTGGAAAGAATTTGAAGAATTTCCTGAAAATTTAAATTTTTATGAATGGACTTATTTTAAAGTTTTCAATAAAAAACCTACTTTTTCAAAGATTTCTTCAAAATCAAAGAAAGAAAATCTATTCAAGTTATTAATACTCCACGGAAGACTTGAAAAACTCCTTCTGATGAGAATATTCAATCTTCTTATCCTCCTTTGTAAGAGATTGTAGTTCCAAATGAAAATACAGAAGTTCTTGCTTTTCCTTTCAAAAAGGTATCTGAAGAACGACCTGATGAATCACGAGTTATTGTTAAAGATATCAAAAATATTCAAACTCAAAATAACTATACTAATGTAGTTCTTCAATCTGTCTGTTCTTAGCTTAACAGAATTGAAATAAATTATGAACCTGAAACATCATCCTCTTCAAAAGGTATTAAGCCAATAGAGCTATTTTTAATTAACAGGCATGAGGCTAAATCCAAAAATGGTCTCAAAACTGAGATTAATGTTCTAAAAGAACTTGCTACTTAGTTATAAAAAATATCATCATCCTCTACTTCAAATAACATCAATACTATTGACAATATTGAATCTCAAATTATTGATGACGAAGTTCCTCAAATCAATAAACATCAAGGCAAAAAAGTTCAATTTTAAAAAATTCCTCCTTATTATTCAAAAAATACTCCTACAGATTTACTTTTCAAACAAAAGGCTAAAATGCCTACGACATTTTTTAGTTCAGGAATAACTATCTGGAATATAGATGGTTTAACTGAATATCAAAATTTTGAAATTCTTGAAAGTATGGTGCTTGTTATAACGCCTATATTCAGGAAAGAATTTC